TACGATTGCTCATAGTTAAGGGATTTCAACAAAACACTTAAAGGGACAGTTCACCCAAAATTCTCCCCAAAAACCACTGAAATGTTTTTCAAAATATCTGATTTTGTATTCCACAGAAAAACAAACTGCACGCAGGTTTGGAATGGCATGAGTAAATTATGAAAGAAATTACCCTAGCAACCAACCACAAGACCTTAGCAACCGCATAGCAACACGCTAGAAACCTCTCAGAATACCTTATTAACCACATAGCAACATCCTGGCAGCCACAGGCAAACGCCACTCACGTTTTTATCAGAAAATTCAAAACACTATAGTTTGTTTAATTTGATTGTATGTTATTGTCCTGCTAAACATTCTCTGTGCTAAAATTTCACGGTCGACATCTCTGTCTTGGAGATCTCGCACTCAGAAATATGTTTTCCCTTTCTCTCTCTTCCCTAAATCGCTGTCACGCTGCCTGTCTCCCACTCGCTTGGCTCCCTGACGTAAGCAACATTTAAATGTGTCAGTCCTATTCTCAAATCCCTATGCTCAGAAGCCAACAGCAATGACTTCCCCTTTATAGTTTCCTTCACTTTTATTTTATTCCCATCAAGCATAATTTGAATCATCATATGACTATGTGGGCTACATAAATCATGTTCAAAGAGCATCCACTTGTTTTTTACTATTTCATCTAATCTGTTCTGCAACTTTGTTTACGGACATCATTAGTGATGCTGGTTAATACAAGAGAACAAATGGAAAATTATAAAACGGGTTAACCTAGGGACTATATGATAGAAACAATATCATAATATAAATATCTTATTTTAATTTTGGTTCTGGCTAACAGATAAATAAGGTGTGAGATTATGCTCATAACGTCTTCATATTGAGCTACAATCTAGAGTGACGAATGCATAAAACACTCGCAAGAGGAAGTGCGTGGAGGAAGTAAATTATAAGGAGTATCAACAAACATTATATTAAAGATGCATTAGTCAATGACACCATATGTCTTGACCTGAAAATATGCACACATGGCAATGCTCACTCCTAACATGATTTATAATGTTACGATGACGTTGCATCGTAAAATAATTGAACTTTTATGTCTTGCTCGATTGGATGCCAGATTATTTAAAACCCAACAGCAAATTTAATTTGTAATCTTATGGTAAACTAAAAATAATTGGGTCAGATACAGAGAGTAAGAGCAGCACTATAGACAGGTGGTGCCTGAGATGGAGAGGATGTGGCTTTCGTGGTCAGCAAGAGAGCGTCAGACAGGAAATGGACCAGCACTTCGTGTTCAAAAGCTTGCCACCATTACGATGTCTCTAAGATGGTGCTAATGTTTCAACCTGGGCCTCTTTAAATTAACATCCATGATTCTGATTCTACATCCGGACTGTAGTAACAGTTCATCATCACAGTCTAATGGAGGAGCGTGTGCATTTGGAGACGTCTACTGGATGTATAATTCAATTTAACATGAGTTAAAACATTTATGTTCTTTTTTATCTGTCTGCCTTCCCTAAAATATACATTTGGGACATTTTACAATATGACATTATTACAAGAAAGCACAAGATAACAAACATAATACTGCAGAAAACTGAACAATCAATAGCAGTTAAACCATGTGAAAATGCAGTGAAAGGCATTTTAACTTACACAAAGAGCTGACAATCGACTAGTAAACTTGTTTTCTTCTGAGGGTGATCTAGATATGAAATACTATCAGAATCTGGCTCCAACATAGAGTTCAATTCAAACAGTGTGCTGTTTATGTGCAAGTCAGTCTTGGTAAGTACAGACCCCTAAAGACCCTTAAATAAACATCTCAACTTGCAAAACCATATGGGAATCTATCAGCAAGTGTTCTAGTGGACAAAATAAACAATCTCATGATATTTACGAGATCTTTCAAAGAAACTCAGGCTCACCTTGAATGCTGTGGAGGAAAACCTTTAGTCCTGTCCTGAGCTGCCGGTCCTCAACCCTCTCCAGCTGTTTGAGAAATTTGTTTACGGTGTTTTGCAAGCTCTCATGTCTTTTCACCTCAGCTCTAATTGCAGTCGAGTGTGTAACTTTATTTGTGCTGTTCATATTTAGACCAAAGTGACTGCTCAAACGGCATGGAGTTTCTCCAGTAACCCATCAGCATTTCCTGCCCGTTCTTTCATGTCAATGTCACGTACAGAAGCAGAAAGCTGTTTAGACTCTAGGTATGCAGCTCAGAGCAGAAGTAGATTTGCTTGCATGAATTTCCTCTCTTTCTTTCTCTCTGAATTTACTTCCTGATTTTATAAACTGTCACCATCTCATAGGCTGCTTAAAAAAAAAAAAAAAAAAGGACTTTGGTTTCAAACTGCAAATCAGGTTTCAAAAAGACAGACTCACATTTATTTTCAGATTTAGAGCAGTAATGGTAAAAACTCAGTACTGATATGGCTATATATATATATATATATATATATACAGTATATATATATTATGATACCAATAAGGGAATTGTCAACTGACAAAATAGGTTTGTCAGACAAGAGTATTTTTCACAAAGGTTATGTCAAAGTTGGCTGTTTTAATGTTATATATATATTTTTAATTATATAATAATCAATCAATAGTTTTTAATGTATCATTTAATTATAATTTATTAATTATGATATCTGTTTTTATCCTAAATAATAGTTTTTTCCTTTTTTTATATTTCCTATAATAGGCTATAATAGCAGGTTCCTATTATTACAACTTATTATTATTATACTAATAAGGTAAATCGGGGCTAATTGTCACATGCTGTTTATCAGACAAGGGTATTTTTTTTAAATGTAAATTCAGACAGTTTGTCAGATTAATATCTGTGTTACAAGTTGTATTATTATTATTTAAAAAACAGACTTTCATGTCATTTATTATTTATAATATGTTATTGGCTTAAATAATGTTTAGATTTTTTCATTTTTTATTTTTTATATAACAGGCTCCCATTGTGACAGCTTATCCCATTTAGTGTCAAAATTGAGCTTTTTGTAACAAATATTTTAATATACATAAACTGACATTCAACTGACTGAAAAGTGTGACAATTAGCCCCAGTCTACCCTATACAATTCCATAAAATATTAATGTATAAGTAATATGTGGCATTTATGGGAATTTCTCGCATGGACGTAGTTAAATGTAAATTTCACAGTGTCTTCAGTTATTCATAATAGTGTCTGATTCGGAATATGGGTCTGTCTTTATCATCAGTCCTCGAAAATGCAGCATCCTGCGTCTCAAACGCCCGTGACGACAGAGGGCGGGCCGAAATGTGACGTAGTTTGTTGCTACTCTGCGCGCAGCCATTGATGCTGAAGCAGCACAAGCTTCAATATCAGTCAACAAGGAGCGAAGGAAGGCTCGTTATTTACTAGAATCGTTCAATCAGAGCCCTCTTAGTATTATCTCAATACACATAGTAATATCCAGAAGCATTATAAACAAATTCACGTTAAGCATGATCGCTTTTGTGTCATTCTTGAGAAGTGGGACAAAACGGTGCACAATTGAAAAAATAAAACCTTGTACTCAAGACAAATGTGATCATACTTCCGTAATGCCTCTGACTCACACGAGTGATGACAATACTGGGTTAAGATCATGGTGTCACAGTCACACTTAGCCAAAAATAAAGGACTTTGCACTCAGTCAGAGCTGTAAATGAAGCTGCATTGCTAAATGTCTCTGGGTAGTGGTTAAAGATCTGTGCTAGTAACCCAAAGGTTAAAACCCTTAAAGGGAAAAAAGCTTCACCTCAGGTTGTCCATAGGGACTGCTTTTGTAATGAGTGTACTGTAAATGTAATGATTAAATATGGGTTTTGAACGGAAAAGTCAGGGCCATCACCACTTGGACCACTTTGTGGTGTGTTTGGTTTTGCAATGTTCTCCATAACACCATAATCATACCCCTCATGCTGCCATTTAAGGAGGGACTGTGTGCACATTATTCGGTTGGCTTTGGGTTTGGCCCGTGATATGCTGCCCTTGACAGTAATGCTGTTTGGTAAGGTTATGTTGATACACATGTTGCTCTCTGGACCTACAATCTTTATCTTGCTGCCCTTTGCTTTGGGTTATATAAATTCCAGACAAAACCTTGAACTGTAGATTGACCCTACTCACAGTTTAGCTTATAGAAATGATCTGTAGTTAGTTATACACATTTTAGAAACATAACAGCATGTGAGTTGTGCTTTATGTCTCTGTCACAGTAGTTGTAATGAATTTAAACAACGGAAAAGTCAGGGCCATCACCACTTGGACCACTTTGTGGTGTGTTTGGTTTTGCAATGTTCTCCATAACACCATAATCATACCCCTCACGCTGCCATTTAAGGAGGGACTGTGTGTACATTATTCGGTTGGCTTTGGGTTTGGCCCGTGATATGCTGCCCGTGACAGTAATGCTGTTTGGTAAGGTTATGTTGATACACATGTTGCTCTCTGGACCTACAATTTTTATCTTGCTGCCCTTTGCTTTGGGTTATATAGATTCCAGACAAAACCTTGAACTGTAGATTGACCCTAGTCACAGTTTAGCTTATAGAAATGATCTGTAGTTAGTTATACACATATTTTAGAAACATAACAGCATGTGAGTTGTGCTTCATGTCTCTGTCACGGTAATTGTAATGAATTTAAACGCAATAGTCGTCTTTAGGCACTGCAAAATTCCCATAGTTTTAACAACTGTAGGCCTCACTTAAAGTCAACATGATATAAAAATTGACCCTATTTCCTAGGGCTGCACGATTAATCGCATGCGATATTTAACTCGCATCTTGTCAGTAAAGACGGTTCTGTAATCAGCGGTAAATCTCCATCACCTGCGGGCTTTACAGAACCGGCTTTCTGACAAGATGCGCGTTAAATATCGCATGCGATTAATCGTGCAGCCCTACTATTTACTCTATTAGCCTTATTGTGAATGATTCATCAGTGCATTGTTTGTCTTGTTATTTTTTTCAAGTCCTTTTCTAGCTAACTACATTCTCTCCAACTACATGGTCATATGGAGACCATGCCCAGCTAGCGTTTGGTTAACATGTTATGGTTAGCCACTGCTGGAGTTCTAACTACACCATCTGGAAACAAAGAGCATCTTTTGATATTTGCAGTGTATATATTTTATATTTCATTTAAATTTAATTTATTTAATTTTGTTTTGTTTGGTTTGGCTTTTGTTTTATTTATTTCTTTTTTAAATATTTATTTCCTTTAGTTTTGTTTAATTTTGATTGGTTTTGTTTTGGGGTCTTTTTTTGTTTGTTTTCCAGTCCATTTTTTACTTTATTTTGGTTGGATTTAATTTGTTTTATTTAGTTTGGTTTGTTTTTATTTTTTATTTCGTTTTATTTTTTTTCAGTCAATTCTATGGAAACATTTTAATTGAAAAAGTTAAATTGAAAGTTTAAAAATGAAAAACAAATTAATTCAGTAAAATGAGTTTTTTTGTAACAGTGCCAGTATAGTGTTTTTATTGTTTGTTTGTATTTATTTATTTATTTATTTTAATAATTACTTTTAATCAACTCTACAAATAAAATTCAGTTCCTCCTTAATTTTTCCTCTTTAAATATCCTGTTTAACTTGAAAATGTCATATTATGGAAGTAAACTATGCTGTATGCACCATTTCAGTGCCACTTTAAGCACAATATATTGTTATTTTTAATACAATTTTATGTATAGCAAAAGGTTGGGACATGTTTCTGATTGGTCTTTTTTCATCCTCAGCTGGTGGGTCTCCTGTTGATTGTCGTAGCAGCATGGGGGAAAGGCTTTGGCATTGTCTCCAGCATCCACATCATTGGTGGTGTGATTGCCGTGGGCTTCTTTCTGCTGCTGATCGCCATTGTGGGACTCATTGGAGCCGTCCATCATCACCAAGTCATGCTTTTCTTTGTATCCTTTAGCAGCGATTGTACTACATGTTTTTTATAGTTCAATGCCCATAAAACATCAATTCTAAATTCTCCTATATGAATCTTGTGAAGTCCTTGACCACAACTGCTTTTCCACAGTACATGGTCATTCTCTTCATTGTGTTCCTCTTCCAGTTTGGAGTTTCCTGTTCTTGCCTGGCCATGAACCAGGGTCAACAGGTGATCCTAATTAACTTAAAGCACTCTTGTTGTCGTTGCACAATTGTTTGTTGAGAAACTGAGTGTGACTCCTGGTTTTTGTCTTGTCACATTACCAAAACAGGAGAAGCTGCTGAATTCATCCTGGGGAATGATGAATAACGACACAAGAAACAGCATTGAGAAGAAGCTGGACTGCTGTGGCTTGTTCAACAATACACAGAACCTGGGAGTGTTTATGTCTGACTTGCACCTCTGTGATGCTGTAAGAATATATCCTTGTGTTCGTTTTTGTTTTATTTTGGCTTTTTGACACTTTAGTGAACAGATAAAGAGAAAGGAAAGGAAATTGGGTAGGAAAGGGGGTGAGCATGACAATAAGCATGATCTGCAAGAATTGAATCTGGTCCACATTACATCTTATTCTGGCCTGCTTAGACTGTGAGAAATTGTCTGACCACCCCTCTACAGTTTATTCTAAGATGATGAGTGAATGGTGCATTTGTGATAATAACACATAGCCTGAATGGTGAATGCTGAGTTAACCAAATGTGAAAAATGAAGATGAATTCCTTGTTTTCCTTTCCTGCAGCCATGTCTAAAAAAGAGCCCCTGCCTCACCTGTGGTGAAAAGATGCTCCAACATTCATCAGAAGCTCTGAAGATCCTTGGAGGGGTCGGCCTCTTTTTCAGCTTTACAGAGGTTAGTTCAGATCACATGTTGTCTGGGCCACATGTGAAAGGCACAACAAAATTGTGGTAACTATTGGGAGATCTGGACTTCTTTTGAGGACTGACTTTGCAAGCTGCGGGCTCGTCAGTTAGAGAATCATGGTTAAAATAAATTGTTATTGATCATAAATAAGTTGTACTTAAGAATGTGACCTACTACATTTCCCATCATTAAAAAGATGAAATACATATAAAGTATCAGTTCCATTTTGTTGCATAAGTTTAACAACAAAAAATAGGCTGTGGTTGTAATTAAGTGAAAAAGAGAAGAAAAAAAATCCCACATACTCAAGTACATGACATTGTATGACTTTGAGACTTGTAACTTCTCAGGAGGACTTAAAGAAAAAATATTCATTTGAAAACAGTTCAAGTGATGTTAAATTAAATTAAAATCAGATTGAATTAACCACATTCAAAGTTGTTGTAAAATATACAGACATGAAACTGTACATTAGTTGAATTTTATGTTGAGTCAAATCCTTCAGTAACAAACTGTTGTTGTTATTGGATTTATTAATATTTTGAGTTAGCTTTTATTTTATATTTTCATTTAAGTTTTAGTAATTTTGTTCTGTGCTTCTGTATTTTTCATTAGTTTTTTATATTTATCTTTATTTTGTATTTTCTGTCTTAGTCATTTTAGTACTTATTTTATTTCAGTTAGTTGCCAAGGCAACAAATAATTTTTTGTTTATGTTTTTATTTTTTTTATTTATTTTTTGCTTTGTTTCAATTAACAAAAACTATTTTATTTGTTTAGCAGAATACATTTATTCATTTAGAATATAATATTATTTTAGGAAAATATGTTTATTTAATATTGAACATTGATCTGTTGTATCATATTGCTTATATATAAATATGTCACTTTCAGCCACGCATTCAAGTGTTAATTTGCCTTAAATGATGGAATCACTTTAGCACATAGACTTGAATGACTTTTTGCTTATTGCAGCTATTATACTCCAGTATTTTGTTTATAATCAATATTTTTGTCCTTTCTCTCAGATCTTAGGAGTTTGGCTGGCCATGCGCTACAGGAACCAAAAGGACCCGAGGGCGAACCCCAGTGCTTTCTTATAGTCCCTCAGACCGTCTGTCCTAAACTATGTTTAGACTAGTCCAGCTATTCCAGTTCCCTTTTGCACAGGTAGAGTGGAGCGCACCAAGAGACAATTAAAGCATTAAACGCAGAACACAACCACTGATCCCCACAACAAACTCACATCAGCACACCCGGTTCAGAACACACTAGATAACGCACCGCACATACAAACACATCTATTTTGAAGACCCATTTTCCACACAAGGTCTGCAGAGGGCTAATTTAAATCAGCAGGAGGAGGTATCATGTATGATAGGATGCTCGTTCTGACACTTCCCCCATCCTTGATGTGAAAAACTCTTCCTGTTTTCTGTATGCAAAACGAAAATCTGCAATGTAAAGCCATCGGTGTCTGCATGTTCATAGCCTCAGTTTCTTGTGACATGGTCAGCTCACTTATGTACACATATTAACTAGGTATATAGTGCCGAAATGGTCCCTGTAGTTTGAGTGTAACGGAAAGTTAACCCACATAAACTGTATTAATGTTTAGTATCAGTTAGTCAGGGTGAAATTCTGTCATGTATCTCCCAGGAAAACCGCATCCATGTCCGCTTTGAATCAGTGCAGACCTGAAAATCACCTGTGTTTTGTGCAATGCTTTAAGAAGTCCGTCTCGATGAGGTGACCAGTCCAGCCTATGGGATATTAGTTTAGGAATTAGACATAGAACGTGAATATTTAAAAAACACTTGTGTAACTGTGTGTAACTGAGCCATGTGATTGGGAGGATTTCCCCTGCCGATGGACTGCAGCCCTCCTGTTGTACATGGTCTTTACCGTGACAGCGGTCGGCGTTCACCAATTTACAGATTCTTTTCCATTCTTATTTAAACTCTCGCTATTCTCACTGGACTTTTTAAGTTCTTCATTTCCTTTGAAGCTTAGTATTACTCATGGATATAGTGTTTTAATATCTTATGCATTGATTTGTGGATGATTGTTGAAATAATTTCGGCGTGCCATTTGCTCAGTTAGCTGTCAGCTTGGTTTAAGCCACATACTCGTGCACTAACTTGCAGTTTTTATTATTTGCAATCATGTATCGCTCCTTTCCAGCTATTTTTAAAAAGTACTAATGGCATCAGGTCCATAATTTTAGCACTGAATAATGTGCCATTTCAGTTAAAACCTTCTTATTTTTTTGTTTTGCCAGATCTCTCTCTTTTTTTTGTTGTTGCACTTATAATTTTTTTCTTGTTTTGTGCGAATAGTGTTAAGTTGCCATGTGTGCATTTTTTGCAATGTTGAACATTGTTATTGTAGTAGATAGATCATTTGTAATGACTTTTGTGCACATGCATATGTTAATTCCATATGTCCAGTATGTTCTTGTGTTAATTTGCTTACTCATATTAATAGAGGAACATACTGGCTATAATACTCAAAGTCTTAACCGCTTTAGTTTCCACCCCACATGATCGAGAAAATTAAAACACTGAACCATCACTCAGTACAGCTTAAATGTGTTTTGCTTCACTTGGTCATGGTATTATGAGTGTGTTTCACTGATGGATTTTGAAGAGGTGAAATCAATGTCTGTGCTATAGTAGTTATTTATTGCAATTGTGAGAAGGCCACGGTAACCGACTCGGTGAGCTGTAAGCACCACTTTGAAAAATTTGCCTTGTATTTTTGAAACTGACTTTTCCAATTAAATATTCTTAGATCAATACCTGTGAAATTCTCTCTTTTTTTTATTGTGCACTCATCATGAGTTGTGTTCCTTAACTTGTTTTGCTTCAACACTCAACATTTTACATTTGACATCAAGCGGTGACCCAACAGTATCAAACCCATGTTTAAAGGAATAGTTCACCCCCCCCAAAAAATTAAGATTTGCTGAAAATGTACAGGCCATCCAAGATGAGTTCATTTATTCATTAGAACAGGTTTAGAGAAATTAATATAGCATTACATCACTTGCTCACCAATGGATCCTCTGAAGTGAATGGGTGCCGTCAGAATCAGAGTCCAAACAGCTGATAAAAACATCAAGTAATCCACATGACTCCAGTCCATCAATTAACATCTGTGAGAAGCTGTGTGTTTGTAAGAAACAAATCTATCATTAATATGTCTATCCATAATATTGTTTTTTCCCGTAAAAACATTTTCTCATCTGAATCAGCAGAGAAATATACAAAGATCAAGCTCCGTTTACAAGTCAAAACAGTTCTAAACAAATATGATTACTTGTGGATTATTGTGATGTTTTTATCAGCTGTTTGGACTCTCATTCTGACGGCACCCATTCACTGCAGAGGATCCATTGGTGAACAAGTGATGTAATGCTAAATTTCTCCAAATCTGTTCTCTGATGAAGAAACAAACTCATCTACATCTCGAATGGCCTGAGGTTGAGGACATTTTCATCAAATTTAGAATTTTTAGGTGGACCATTCCTTTAATGTACTTTGGTCTGTCTTTTTACCTTAGACAATTTTGTTCATAACTTTTGAGAATCAGGCCATTTTGTTAATCTTGTTCATGTTTCACGTCTGTCAAATTTGTTTTACTTCTACAAAGTGAATTTGAATAGAGTTTGATGGGACACGCAGCCTTTGACTTCATCATCAAAAGATATGGGAAGTATTTCTTCTCCATATTAAAAGTTGATAATCCTGTTTATTTTGCATTTATTTTAAATGTACATGATTATGTGCGCTGTGACATTTTATCATTTGCAATTAGCATTGTCCCCCCCCAGCATCAACAATAAGCTTTGTTCTGTGTGTCTGCTGATCGGTATTGTGCCCATGATCATGTAGTGCTTTTACTGTATATAATGGGTGAAGTCATTGTAAGCTGGTTTTAGGCAAGTGTATTTGCGCCTCAAAATGCTTCTGCTCAAAATCTGCCTCCATGTGGTGCTTACTGGAACAAAAACAGCAAAATGCTGCATTTAGATACTGTTTAGGATCCAAAAAGCAAATCTTGGTCTAATATGTAAAAGCTTTGCTTTTAGAGCTTATTCTGTGTATGTATAGTGTTTGTAATCCACAATCCAAACATATATCAGGTTCATACCAGTGTTGTTATTGTTAACTAAAGCTAAAACTATCAAAAAGTGTTTTCTGAATAAATTGCTGAAATAAAATATAAATATTAGATCAAAATTTAAATGAGAATTAGACAAATAGAAAACGTTAAAGTACAAAACTTGCTACAATATTTAAATATTTATTAAAAAAATATTAAATATAATACTGAAATAAAAATATTTTTATATCAAAATATTTAAAAACACAATCACATTACAAAATTACTAAAATATCAATTAAAATTTAAATAAACTTTAAAAGCTCATTCAAATTATTAATAAATACTTGTATATAATAAATAATGCTAAAATAGCACTGGTTCATACAAAATCAGAACATTTGAAGTTGTGCATGAACCCTCGAACTGAATATAATGGAAAAAAAAAAGTTACAATGACAAAAGCACAGCAAAATCACCAAAACTTAAAATGAAGTGAAAATATACAAATAAAAGCTCATTCAAATTAATAAATACTAGTACATAAATAATGTCAAAATATCACTGGTTCATAGTCAAGTTGTGCATGACCCCTCAATCTGAATATATTGAACAAAACTTAAGTAATAAAATAATTGAAGATGTGATATTGTGAATAATGACAGATAGAGGTTTTCAGCCTTTAGATGCAACTATACAGTGGACTCAATTTTATTGCTTTTGTAAAGGTAAATGTAAATAAATGTCTGCAGTGTCCTAATGCCATTATATCACCTTATCATTTGCAAGTTATCACCACATTTGCACTAATGAGCTTCAGCGCATCAATAATTTGTTGTGGCCAGTGGCCAGTGGCCACAACAAATAGATCGAATGGTTCACAGCTGAAAGCACTTCATGGATAAACACATCAGCTGAATTTAAAATGAAACGACTGTGCATTTTATTATTGGAGTTGGACAGTTTTGCGGTTAAATTAGATGCAAAATTGACCATTTATGGAGCTTGTCTAATATGTTAAACATTTTATAATTTTGCTGAATTTTTATTTTAATAACATTTTAATTCTTGAAGGCTTATTTTTGTCTTTCTGCGCAGTCTGGTGCTTATGTAAGTAAAATGTGCACTGTAAGGTGTCTGGTTTCTTTGAATTTCCGGTCAACGGGATTTTGGACATGCTCAGCAAAGCAAACCCCCCATCCTGTCAGCACACTTGGACTCTGTGTTGGGACACTTGCCAGTTTTCACTCCTTTCACTCCTTTCCACAGGTCTGACCACCTGTCTAGAGACCAATATAGCAAAAGGTCTATGAGATTTTTGAGAAGCAGCCTTAGCAAAGACCTAAATGTAGAAGTGCAACATATGGAGTGTGATGATCAGCAATGGGAAAACGTCTCTCTGCATCCTGACCTATGAGGTGTTATCTGCTATGACGAATGCCATATTTGTTGGCCGAGTCTGATGAGGACAGATAATGAAGCTGATTATGATTCCTTACGCTGATCCAGTCGGACAAACAGGTAGAGTAATCTCTCCCATCAGAATGAGGAGACAAGCGGGTCAATAGCAGCATAAATAATGGAACAGATTAGATGCATGCTGTTCGTGCAAATGAAGATGGACCAGCCGGACTGTCTGTGGGAAACGAGCATTGAGTGTGTACTGTGTCCTCACTGCGTGAGACACACCACACAGTCCAATTGGTCAGCATCAGATGACCTGTTTGGAAAGGACAGCCCTGGTATAGTGTTTGGAGTGACAAGCCAACCTGTGCGCTATCTAAACTCTCTTTTTAGACTAAGCTTAAAGGAGTAGTTTGCCCAAAAAATTAAAATCTGCTGAGAATTTACTCACCCTCAGGCCATCCAAGGTGTAGATGAGTTGGTTTCTTCATCAGAACAGATTTGGAGAAATTTGCATTGCTTGTTCACCAATGGATCCTCTTCAGTGAATGGGTGCCGTCAAAATGACGACAACATCACAATAATCCACAAGTAAGCCGCACAATTCCAGTCCATCAATTAACATGTTGTGAAATGTAAAGCTGCATGCTTGTAAAAAAAACAAATCGTAGAAGAAAGTAAGTCATAGAGCATAGGATGTGTTAGTCTCGTGGTATATTGGTTTTTATTTAGCATGCAAGGGGACACGGGTTCACATCTTGTTTGAACATGATGTTTTTTTAAACCAAGCAAAATTACAGCTGAACTTGACAGTGATCAGGATGCATTTTCATTGTATGTATAAAAGAAGCTTTGATGTTATGATAATAACTCTGTGTTCCACAGACAAAAAAGTCATAGAAGTTTCAAGCGACATGAAGGTGGATATATGATGATCAAAGCGAATGTAAAAGATCTGTGTAAAGTGCAAGTAGACTGAATGGATCAAATTAAGATGCGAGTAGCCAACTTACTAAAACAAGACATTTATAATGTTACAAAAAATGTATATTTCAAATAAATGCTGTTCTTTTGAACTTTTTTATTAATCAAGGAATCCTGAAAAAAAATGCATGACAGTTTCCAATATGTAATGTATTCAAATAGAAGTTATTTTAAATTGTAATAACAATATTACTGTTTTACTGTATTTTTGATCAAATAAATGCAGCCTTTGTGAGCGAGAGCCTTGATTTAAAAACATTAAATATGGAAGCGCATGTGGTAATATTTTTAATAAATTATTTAGTCATATAGCAGACGCTGTAATCCAAAGCAACTTACAAATGAAGACAATAGAAGCAATAATATGTAAGTGCTGTGACAAGTCTCGGTTAGTCTAATGCAGTACAAGAAGCAAAGTTTTTTTATAATAAAAAAAAAGAAAACAAGTAGATAGAATAGAAAAAGAATAAAGAACGCTAGTGTCAGAGGGTAATTAAAAAAAAAAAAAGTCGAAAGAATAGAGAATGCTAATATTAGAGGGTCAATTGTTTTATAAATAAATAATAACAGTGGTTGTTTTGTAGGCAAACATCAATGCCTTGAATGGCTATTGGTAGCCAGTGCAAATTGATGAACAGAGGTGTGACATGCACTCATTTTGGCTTGTTAAAGACTAATCTTGCAGCCACATTCTGGATTAATTGTAGAGGTTTGATCAAACTGGTTGGAAGACCTGCCAAGAGAGCGTTATAATAGTCCAGTCTAGACAGAACAAGAGCTTGAACCAAGAGTTGTGTAGCATGCTCCTGAAAGATAGGGCCTAATCTTCCTAATGTTGTATAAAGCAAATCTGCAGGATTTTACCATATAATTTAAATTACTTTAAAAATGATTTTAATAAAAATAAATAAATTGCACCGTTCACCAGTGAGAGCAAGGTATTAAAAATATTATCCTATAAATATCTCCCAGGAAGTGTTTGTATCAGAATGTATGTGCGAGGGTCCACTCACTTTACAAAAGTTAAATTATTGATGTGCTGAACGGACAGACTATATGCCTTTGTGCAGCACAGTCATGCCATAACAATAAATCAGCAATATGTATGTAATAATTTGTTGGAGACTGATCTGTATTACCAGAGAGGATTGCTTTGACAGCTTAGTGCCAACCAGGGTCTGACTCACTATCCATTATAACTGTAGAGGATTGATCAAAGTTATGTAGGCATGTGTTTATGTACAGTGCCATCAGAAAGTATTTTGTGTTCCACAGAAGAAAGAAAGTCATACGGGTTTGGAATGACATAAGGGTGAGTAAATGATGACACAATTTTCATTTTTGGGTGAATCATCGCTTTAACCGCTCATGTTGTGACCCAGAGAGGATCCCCCCCCCCCAATACAATGTAATTGTATTGGACTAAGACTCCCTTTGCTCACACAGGGTCTAACAACTTCCTCAAAAAAGTGATATTTTTGTACTTTTTTAGCGATTTTCCCCCCTGCTTGTGGTTTTCCTGGTCAAAAATGACCAATTAACCATCAAAAAATTGCTAGAAAATTTCTCATTATTCTGTATAATTACCAAATATTTCAATCATGTTTTATCAACTTGTTTTCTTTCAGTTAGCATAGGTTTTGTCTTTCTTTTTGGAACTGATTGGTCGTAGGCCTCGTTGATCTGAGCTTATGCATCTCAGTTTTTGAGTGAATGTTGCCAAAATTATTATCCACCATTAATTATTTTTTCCCCACTTTTTTTTCATAAATGCCACTTCATTTTATTTTGTTATTTAATACAGTTGCATTATAACATTAAGTGTCCATGTACCTTTTAGAGTCAGTTGTAAATCTGTATCAGTATCAGTACATCAAGTAGGCAGTAATGAAAGAAACGATTGTCACTTCAATCTTCCAGGTCCTAGCTACTTAACACAGCGTGCAATGGCCGGGTGTGAAAGATCAATGTTTAGAGCCGCCCTGATAAAGCAGACGTTGACAAGAATTCCAATCAATAAACTGCATTAGAGTGCTGACCCATCAGCCAAAGCCATGAATGCGTCCTTATATGGGTCAATCCTGTTATGCAGAACATTTACATGTCCCTATCACATTTTTTAATAGGCCTGTATTGTGTAAAATATAGTTGCCTGAGCTTGAAAATATGGTTTAATCTTCACAAATATGCTTCTATTTTGTGTTGCAGAGTTCAAGAGGTGCTGCATAGCAGATCTGACCCGTAAAGCTCATTTATATTTCCCGCGTCTCTTTGACACGTAGGGAAAACGTCACGACGAGAGATCAGCACCTTGGACAGCGGCGCCCGTCAAAATTCAGCATACTTGGAATCTCCCACGAGAGAATGGAGCAGGAGCGCGCACGGCAGCGAGACGTTTGTAAATGAATCATTTTGATTGGGCGAGAGCGCGCCTTGGAAACAAGGGCCGTGTGTTGATGCGCACGGCAGAACGTCCATTTCGAGGATGAATCAGAGGGGAGCAGCATCAGCATCCCCATCACTTTACGATCCACAGCATCAGCCGCTCCGACTATCACACTCTGCGAAGAAGGAAAATAGGCGAACCTGCGCACGGTGCCTTTTATTCTTCCGTTCTGGAAGCCCCATCTTCCTTTGAACGTAGCGAGGAACCATATCGGCCGGGAGGGGGGATGGTGATGAACTTCAAATGGAGCCAAGATGCTGGCATTTCCCCCCAGCTCTTCAGCCAATACTGCCATTATTATTTATGTTTTTAAAACACCAACCTAATGGATTGTTCTGAGCTCTGCGTTTGGGATGTGAGGTGGCGTTGGAATATGTCGACGGGAAGATGCACAAGGAAATGATGTGAAAGCTTCATCATGATGCCTCTGGTGAACAATAAACAAAACTATAGGATTGCACCCGAATACAACTTCCAGCTCTTTTGGATTATGTTTTTATGCTGAAGGATCCCCCGACGATGACTGTATGTGGCAGCGATGCTCTGAAATACCATTTTGCATCTTCCTTGTCTCTCATCCGTGCGTCCAGGCTTTGGATTGCTGGGAGTTTATGAAAATTACACCTCTTTAGACCTGGAACAATGCATTGCTGGCTATTTATTGCAATACCATATGCTTATTATTGGTCATCCTCGCGCCCTATGATGATTGTATCAGAGAAACAACATCGGCCCTAACAGGCACATACATGTCATCAGACGGAAAATAACAAGTCCAGAGATTTTCTGACCAATTACCTTTGGTTTGGACACTTTCTTCTGAGACTTTAGGGTAGCAACCGCGTTTCTGCCGAATAAAATATTAATAATAGGCCTGACGGGATCAATAACAACAACAATAATTATAATAATACTAATAAAAACAACAACAATAATAATGCATAAAAATCATAATATTATATAAAATAACAACAATAATAATTATCAAATATAATAATATTCATATATATATATATATATATATAAATCAATAAAAATAAAATACCGAAAAAAATAATCACCCCTTTCGTAAACAATTAAAAAAGTTCACTTCAGCCATACGACATACACATGTAGTCAAACATGTTCAAGAACCGGATCCGCATGTTTTTTAACGAACTGAAGGTGCTGGTTTTCATGCGATCCGGTTCTAGACGGTCCGACAGTGACGCAGAGCAGAGCAGACGACCCAACAGCATGAGGGGGCTCGGGATGGGCGGCTGCGGATGGCCGCCCTTCGTTGACTGCTCCAGCCGGGACGACGAGGAAGAATACTACGGGAGCGACCCCAGGCCCAGGAGTCTGGCGTTTGAGGAGAAAGACCCGAAACTGCAGGCGGGTCTGGACGCGGTCAGCCTCTCCAGCAGCACGAGCAGCGGCATGAGAACACCCCAGTGTCGAATCTGCTTCCAAGGGCCCGAGCAGGTACCCAGACGCTGTTTTATATCTCATGTCTGAGCACAATAACAAGGCATGTGTGGGTCTTTAGGTTAATGCTCATATTTCCCATTTTAAATGTAGGCCTACATTTTGTTGGTACATTATAAATTATAATGCAGTGGCCATGCTGCACATGCTGCTTGTTATTGTTGCTGTAGTGAATTACTACAGTATGTACAGCTCCGCAAAGTACACGTTGTTCATTAGCATTGCTCATTTGAAATGTCAATACAACGTGATATGAACACTGAACTGTGGTTCATTATAATAATAATAATAATAATAATAATAATAATGCTATGAACAACAATGCATAATTGTAAATAGCTCCACAAAATAGTTATGCAATAAGTACGTGTTGTCCAATAATATTTATGTAAACACACTTATATGAACACTGAAATGTGATTAATACTAATAATAATACTATGAACAACAAAGCATAACTGTAAACAGCTCAACAATATAATTATGCACTAAGTACATGTTGTCCAATAATATTATTAATTAATTATTAATGACATTAATTTGTACTTATTTATGTAAAAACACTTGCATTAACACCAAAATGTGGCTAATAATAATAATAATAATAATACATTCTAATATACAATAATAACAAAAAACAAGAAAGTTATCTAACTGATACTATATTATAAGCAGAAAAATAATCGGCATAATTAAGTATATGTTGTATAATAGTTTTATCATATTTATTAATGTAAATAAACTAACATGAGCACTGCAAAATTATGTGTATAATATGCATTTGTGCTTATGCATTATGCATTGTTCTGTAGTGTTGCTTGCTTACTGTAAATGTTAAACATATTAAAGTGAGCCTTCATTTTGCATAAATAACCAGAAATTGTTTGGGAAGTATCGACAGCTTGTTTAGCTCACCGTCACACCATCTGGAGCAAAGACCAGCGGCAGCATGTAGGCTAATAATGCATTTCTCTTTTGATGGGTTTACAGGTATGCCATTGGAGACTGTCGATTTCCAGGTTCAATATGCCCTCCCAATTAACCTCTCTATTGCTTCTTTATGAGCAGTAGATGTCTCAATGACGTTCTGTATGGAAATGTAGTGTGGATGTTAAAGCCCAGGGCAGCCTGAAGCTGATTCGTTTGCAATGCAAAGACTGTTGTGTTCATGCAGGCCAGGAGCAGGATTCACATGGTCTGAAACGGAAATGTTAGGAAAAACAAGACTCAGTGAGATCCTAAAATTAAAATAATAGGCAACACAGTTCACTTTTTAATTGTCAAATTATTAAGCAGCAAAATAGATGTTGTTCATCTATGAGTGATGTTTTCTGTCCCGTGATGGATGACCTGCTTGATTGGTCATCCAGTGAACTGAACGTCTGTATTAGTATAATCAGATTCTCATGGATAAATCAGTGTGTGCTTGTATTTGTATGGGATAGGCGGAACACAGGATGGATGTTTGGTCAGCAGCCAAGCTGAGAAACAACAGATGTGTGAAACCTGTAAAGCTCGTCTGCTGCAAGTTAACCGTAGACATCAGCTAATATGGAAAGATGTTAGCGATGTACCAACACAATCCATCTGGCAGTCCATCTGATTATGTCAGCTTCAGTGTCTGTTTTCAATGCGAGATGCATTTCAGTGTAAACCTGCCTCTCAGGTAAATGGTTTAATGAGCTGTTGAAAGTGCCGGACAGACAGAAGAAAAACAGCCGCTGGAATAAAGACATAAGGAGTCCGCTTTCAGGCATTTTAAGATCTGTCATTCATAGTTATAATATTATTCATTAACATACAATTTAATCAGAATTTCAAGAACTGACCTCTTTAGATCAAGGGGGCATTAGCCCCTGCTGATGAACGTCGTAACTGCACTGTTTGGAAAAATTAAAGGGATAGTTAACCCAAAAATTATATGAGCAATATCACTCGAGTACGAGAGCGATACCGGCTCTATATCAGCATGGCTGTGATTAGGCCAGAGGCACGAGGCCGCAGGCAATCACAGCCGCTGATATAGAGCCGGTATCGCTCGAGTACGAGAGTGATATTGCGTTTATACAACAGTTCGACGGAACATGCATGTACTTAAACAAGAAACAACGGAGTGCCTAATAAAACCCTCTTTTGTGTGGAACTACTTCCTTCCGCCACGGATTCAAAGCTCAAGTTGACAGTTAAACATACGTCACTTTTAGAATTCGTATCAAGGGCATGTGCTGCTTCAGTTAGGTTATTAGTGAGAAATAATGAGGTTATAAGAGAGAAACAATGCGGCAAGACGTGCATCCAAATGAGAGAGAGAGAGACCGCGAAGCTAGACGTTTCTTCTTATATTAACTAACGTACTCTACGATTAGCTCAGTGAATAATTAAAAAAAAACATAGACCCGGCTAGAACAAGCGGAGTGATACAAAATTGTGAAAGGGCGTTCCTGTAGCGATACCAGTACAATATCTCACGGTTCTCAACCAATCAGATTTGAGAACCAGAACAAACTGTTGTATAAATAAATTTACGTATGCTCATGTCATTCCAAACCTGTTTGATTTTCTGCAAAACACAAAAGAAGATATTTTGAGGAACACTGGACCCCATTGAAATTCAATGTATGGACATTTTTTAAAAACATAAAAAGGAATTAAAATTAATAAGAATAATTTAGAATAATAATTAAAATAACAATTAAAAACTAAAAAAAAAATCTCCATTGGTGGCCATTCAAAAGTAGCGGTGTATTCTAACACACACACAAAAAAAAAATCTAAATTTCAATTATATCATTATATTATTATAGATATTTTACCAGTGCCTGATTCTGTTTTGGAGGTTCTTAAAATCATTCAATAAACAATAACATATATTATAAATAGTGTATAATATTTAGAATATAATATTTTTTTCCTGTCTTTGATGTCACCTATTTAGCAGTGTTATTTTAGTATCGAGATACTATTATAGTTTTTATAAATATTTTAATTAGTATTTATATTTTCTGATTTTATTTAAATTTTAGTTAAAATGTTAGTAATTTTGCTCTGTGCATTTCTAATTTTTATTAGTTTTATTTAAATAGGCCCATATAATTATTTTAGATTTTGTTATCAACTAGCTGAAATAAAATAAGTTTAAGGCTTTTTTACTTTACTTTACTTTACTTTACTTTACTTTACTTTACTTTACT